TGTCACATGTGAGTGTCACAGCACTCCAGTTGTCTGCCTAACACGGCTCACAGGCTTTGCTCTATTATTATTGTCCTTCAGAACCATCCTGCTCAGACCCTAATAGGGCCATGTGGTGATTGCACATACACAACATACCCAGACTGTTGATATGAGGCTCACTCAGCCATAAGCCATGTGTCTGGTGATTCATCTCCATCCACTCGCAACCACACGTATGTTACACATAGATTCAGGCCTCTTGCTCTGTTTCATGGTCATGATAAACATTTGAAAGACAACAGACTCTACGGTGCCTTTGAGGCTTCGAGAGTGTCAAACCTACTGCTCTGCTTTTAGCAACTTACAAAGGTCATTTTTCATATGTCATGCTCAGAATAATACACAGTGACCTTGACATGAAAAGCACAGAGAGAACACATACTTATCAAAACTCTTGGAACAACACAGGAAGCATAAGCATGCTGAGAAAATGTATTGTAACCATTCTACTATTTACATCATAGGGTGTCCATTCTGTAATAACATTCAATCATATATGTTCTTTGTGGCATAATCTGTTCCCTTTTCTGTGTAATTGAACATGATAAAATGTAGTCTGTAGTGTCATATCTCTGTGTCTGAGCTCCGCCCTCTGTCACCTGCCATTGTCAATAATCCACAGTTGGTGCTCTAAAGCCTCAGTGAACTGAAGACAGCTATGAGTTAATTAACAGAATAATACACTCTGGCGACTAGGGATGCTCCGATCGCCAATTTTGGGGCCGATCGCCGATCGCCGGAATCAGTATCGGCCGATACCGATCGCCGATCCGATCGAGTGGGCGGGGCCTAAATGGAAGATGTAAACATCACTTTAAATCTTCCATTTAAAGTGATGTTTAAAACTCAGTTAATGGGGCTCATTCACTGGAGCTTCCACAAACAACAATCAACTTAATTATTACATTAAAATGATGTACATTATTCAAGTTTACATTCACTTTGGAGAATAACACGGGAGAAATTAGCGGAAGCGCTCTCTCTCTCTCTCTCCCTCTCTCTCTTCCCCCTCTCTCCCTCTCCTGACAGCCTGTCAGTATCTCATGCAGCTCACTGATCCAGTAATGAGTGACCCGACAATGAAGAATAAATATATTTATAATAACTAGTTTAGCTTGTTCCAGAGGTAGATAAAATAGCTAAGTGTGTTAGGTCTAAATCTTACGGTACGTCCACACAGCAGCGTTTCAAAAATCTTGGAGCTGGGCGTGTCTGAAAGCTTGGGGATTTTTTGCGAGCAACACGACCAACAACCAATCACATGAATCTCCCGCCCCCGACATACAAAGCAAAAAACCCGGGGATTTTATGCGAGCAATATATATATATATATAAACTCCCCAAACAGGCGAAAACTTACCAGTTTCGCCCACTGTCTCTTCCACCTCCCTCCACGCCTGGTTCCTCCGGTTTGTATCCCGTTAATAGTTCTGGTCGTAAAGAACCGGGTGATTTGCTACCGTAATTTCTCGTTTGGAATATGAGGAAATTAACTGCGGTATGGTTCTCCCTGTGTGTGTGTTTCGCTGCGCTTACCTGTCCGGCGGGCGGAGCTGCAGGATTTCCGCTTCACACACGTTGCATACCGCTATTTTACTGTCTTTTTCGGACACCTTAAAATAATGCCAGACCGGTGAAGCCATTTTGGCGAGCTTGTTTTGCCGCACACAGAGAAAAGTGTCATGTATTTTACGTCATGCGATCGGCTCTCGCGATCGGCATGTTTAGAGAGCACCGATCGATCGGTAGAAAGTGAGTATCGGCCGATATCGATCGGTGACCGATCGATCGGAGCATCCCTACTGGCGACCTCTATGGACTTTATCCCCCATCACATAGTCATTCAGTGAGATGGGGTGTGTGCAGGGCTGGTATGAAAAGAAGGAATCATCATGGCGAGCACAACCTGTTTAACCCTCCTGTCGTGTTTGGGTCAAATCTGACCGATTTACTATTTTCATCACTCATAAACATTGTGTTTTACTGTTGTTCGGCTCAGGAGTTTATGATATCCTCCACAGTAGGCATTTGAACATATAAAACTGTTGATCACTTTCATTGAATGTTGAGGTTTAATCAGCTTTGTTACACCTATGGTTGTCCTGGTCAAATATGAGCGCCATAGGAAATGAATGGGTAATGGGATTATGTTCTTCCATCCGATAGTGCACACCCAACATCTACAAAATGTTATTCTTGGAATACATTTTCCGTGTCTATTCTTTGTATATTCACTGCAGATATTCATGTTAACCAGTAGTAGGAGTAGTGTGATACATTGTTTACAGCTTAAAAGGATGTTAACTCAAATGTGGAGATTAATCATGGTTTTGTGATAGAGTGATAGAGCAGTTACCGGTCAAATTTGACCTGAAACACCAAAGTAAGGGCTGAGAAACTAACACGACAGGAGGGTGAATGCAGCAAATGGCCACCTGACTAAGACCCCATTTACACGGGAACGTTTGCGTTTACGCACCGTATGCGTTTTCAAAAAAGTATTCCGTTCACACGAGACCGCTGGAAACGCTGTAGTACATATGCCAGGCCTGTAAGTGAAGGAGACCCCGGAGCATGGTTGCCATGGTTGCCCTTCTGTTTATTCTCCGCGGTGGACGGCGTATGCTCCTGCTGTAAATCTCTCCGGTAGTCCACCAGCAGATGAAAAACACCAAGGGACGAGGGAACCGCAGAGTTTCCGTTAAAAAAAAATTCCGCCGGTCAACAAAGTTGAAATCTTCCGGACAAAATTAGAAAAGTGCCAGTCAGAGGTCTTCTTTGTTATCTATTGAGCTTTAAAACAAATTGATAACGACTCTATATACTAATATAAGAATAATACACGGAGCCTCTCTTTTCCTCCCCCTCTTCTGACAGCCCAGCAGCTGAACTCTGAGCAGGAGACGTGGGGAGAGGGAGACGTGGGGAGAGGGAGGCGGGGTTATTTCATCGTTATCAGAAAATGATTGTATGGACAGAGCAGTGTTTCTCAAACTTTTTCATACCAAGGACCACTTAACCAATAAAAAAACACTTGCGGACCAACTAACTCCACAAATATAAAAAAACACATTGTTTTTCTAGAACAGATTACAAATCGCCTGAAAATGGTACAAACAAGTGGCAACATGTGTGATGAAGGTGTTGCGCTGGGCTATATCATGCAATCGAAAGTGAAACTTAACCTCGCTCCATTGCGGAGATATTCCCGCTAGAGTGCGGAAAACTTAAATGTATTTATTTATTTCAAATGTGAAATGTTACCAATATACTCACGGACCACTAGGGGGCGCTCACGGACCACACTTTGAGCAGCACTGATATAGAGGCTTACACACAGAGCCGTTTGCCCCCCAAGAGCGTTCCGTTTTCAGATCTATCCACCTTGGGACCCGTTATCGTTTGTGGGGTCCGTTTCTATCGTTTTGTTACGGCCTCACGAAAGGGCTATACGCAAGAGAAACTATGCGGATACAACCCGTATCGTCCTCGTGTAAACGGGGTCTAAAGAGGGACTTTAGAAGTAATGAACCTGTCCTTTAACAGACATGTATTTTCTATGAAACATCCACTACAGAGAAATAGAACAAAATAAAGAATGCACTACTGCTTTCAGGTAATTAGTGAGTTTTGGCACTAACTTCTTCCCCCAGACTCCCATTGAAGCAGTTGTTGGACACAGAAAGTCACAGAAAGCTGTAAAAGTGCGGACCATCTGGAACCTGGGAGTTGAAAGACTTCCACACCTGCAGCGGCTAGAGAATCTCCTCTGAAGCTGCGAGCACAACCCCCTTTTAACAGGCGTTCACACGCCTTCTCACAGACACTTACCACCATGTTAAAACACTAACAGACCAATTAGCACTAATATGTGGTGACTGGGAGCTCCCCCTGTTCTCACAGGCAGACAACACACACCAGAAGATCACCTAAACGGGCCCGTACCCAACATGTGTACCCCTGTATTTAACAAACAACTACAGCTCCAATGAGTATAAGCAGAAGGCATTTTTCCAAACCTCACCAGAGCAGAAACTGGTAAATACTAACATGGTAGGCTATATCATTTTGAAATGATAAACAACATGAGGTGTTCACATTTCACCACTCTACAACAGTAAAAACGCAACTCACAAGTTCCAAATGATGAAACAAAATTGTATCGATTTTCCTACATGGTCGGTTAGTTACAATTCATGACTTTATAGACTTCAAGTATATCCCGGGACTGCGTCATAAATGTAGTCTAATGCAATAGCCTTGCTGTAGTTCCAACCTCCATGTTCCTAAAACTGTTTCTATGTGGTTGACAAAATATTAGAAATTACCCTTTGTAATGATCCAGCAAACGGAATATTATAATAGCCATTTGGATTCGTTTTATATAAAGAGTGGTTGTTTTAAACAGAACTAGTTCATTAAATGTCACCTTGCTTAGCTACCTATGTGTAGCTGGGCTGCATTAATAACAGTCTGCTGTTTCCTCTGATTTGTGTGTGATGGCTAAAATGCATATCCAAGAAACTGATTTAAATTGTTTTATACAACTACAAGAGAAGATTACAATAATTGTAAATAACACTGGTACATTTACATCGATGCTGATCAATGTTCTATGTGGTTAACATTATAAAATAATTTAATTAATCAATAAGACCTCTTGAGTTGTCCGATCCCGTGAGCACTAGAGGCGTGGGAATCTTTTCTACCATCTTTATAAATTACGTGAATACGTGAGCTGCATCAGCTGCATGGGTTTTGGGATGCAAATCTGAAACCATTATTTGAAGTTGCATCTCCTGTAACTCTTTGGCTTGCTAAATTATGAGTGACAAAGGAAATGTATCAAAACAAAACACAGGTGCAGCGAGTCCACCAGCTGCCATGTACACCGTCACACACAGTGAGAGAGAGAGGAACATGTGGATGGGTTGATGAGTGGGGGGGCAGGGTCTTACCTGGGGGGCACAGGCAGCTGTAGGGGGCCTCTCTCACCTCCCGGGTCTTCGGTAGTTGCGCTGCAAGCTTCTGAAGGAGAAGGAACAGAAAAATAATTTTAGAACATGCTGACATTTCACCTTCATGTTGCACCAAAAGGATCCACAGTTCCCCTCGCCCACGGGCCCGAACATAAACACGTTACCACATCACAGCAGAAATCAGAGATTCAGAAAACATGTGATTCAGAAACCTCAATGTAGTTTTCTGTAACAGAGATTTCAAAGTGAATGTCTTTGGGTTTTGGACTGACAAAACAAGACCTTTAAAGATCGCCATAGATGGCCATTTATCGCCATATACTTAAAGATATTAAGATGCATTTTCCTATTACTAGCTTACATTTTATTGAAAATGATTAATACCAAACTTAATTTATAAAGCACTTTTCATCTCCAAGTGCTTCACAAACCAAACACAAAAAATAAAAACAATAATCTCCCCCTTCCCAGGTAATAACCAGAGAAAACATAGCTTTGTGATTAAAAAGAACAAATAATACCAACACATGACTGAATAAAAAGAACAAAATTAGAACAAAATTAGAATAAAATGAGAATAAAATACAATTCAGTTAAAAGCTAATTAAAAAGGTGGGTCTTGAGTTTGCTCTTAAAAGTATGAGTGCTCTGCTGCCTCAGGTCCTCTGGGAGGCTGTGCCACAGTCGTGGGCCGTGATGATAAAAAGACTCCTCACCGTGGGTCTTTGTTTTCACTTTGGGTACGATTAAAAGGCCAGTACCAGAACACCTGAGGGTTCTATAGTGCTCATAGGTTAAAGCTAACTGATAAATACCTAGGCCCAGGACCATTAACACTAGAACCGCCAGAGGTCGCTGTATACCTAAAACCGCCAACGGGTCAAATGTATCCGCTATTGATTTGCAAGGTACGATGTTCTTTTATTTATCATACAGAACAGTGAGTTTTGATCGCACAGGGATGAAACTTATACCAATAGAATCTGTGGACTCTCAGCTTTTCATATGATATAGTTTGTGCAGATAGCATGAAGTATAAAATATCGCTAAGAGTGCTGATTTAAACGCTTGGTGTTAGACTTGTGTTTTGTTTAGGTACAAATCTCTCCATCTCTCTCTCTATCCATCTATAACTATCTATAGATCTATCTGCAATGTTCTGTTCTATGGACATATAATTTCAATCTGACTTCCTATTGACCATTTTTAACAACAGAGGGTGCTATATAACACACTTTCAGGAAAAGTCACGGACTGGGAGACTTTAATATGTTATGGAAAAAAAGTGAAATACAATAAAAAAAACAGCTGCGGGTAAAATGTACCCGTTGGCGGTTCTAGTGTTAAGAGCTTTAAAAAAGAATACAAGTATTTTAAAACTGATTCTACACAGCAGTTTAATTTATAATAAAAAAATATGTTAGTTGTAGCCTTAGTGAGTTGCCTGCATTAGAATAGGAACAGTCCCTACGTAATGTGTTTGGAAATATAAACCTAAAAACGATGTTGTCTATTATGGCTTCACTGTTTAGCAGAAGACCTGCCAACACCTTTTAGTCTTTTTTGAGACAGCACAGTTGACAGTTGACCTCAGTGGATAAACAAAAGGCTGCGTGTGGTTTGACCCTGAACAGAACAGAAAAGCATCCGAGGACATTCTCTCAGCATAGCAGTCGCTCCCACTGCTGGTCGTTACTATCCCCGGAATGTTTAGAGGCAGCAGGTGCAGGAGGGGATGTTATGGAGGCCCTGCTGCAATCTGGGTACAGCCTGTTACATCAGGTGTGTGATCCTGGTTTGAGGAAGGACAGTGTGATGGCCGCAACTCTGCCACACAGATCATTTAAATGTCAGAAACACGCTTAATAGTTATTTTCTCCTCTAAGTTTGTTGACCTTATGACCTTAGCAAATTGCTCACACATCAGCGAACAGATAAATGATGCCACCTTTAATTTCATACATCAAAATTGGGGGTACATTATTTTCAGTTTGTAGCACACAAACTTAGTAACCTTTGGATCAGCCATCATAGGTTCTCTGTTGTGTTCAGTTTGTATGCTAATAAGCTAGCATAGAGTTTTACTCGGGGCCCACAACTCGAAAAAAAGCCACACTATTTTTGAAAATCCATCTGAGAATCCTCATTGCTGCCACTCGGTGACAGTAGCCATGGGTGAACCCAGGATCATTAAAGGGAAATGCACCACATTTGCTATAAATGGACAGACAAATATTTTCACAGGGTTTCAGATGCTGTGTCCAACAAGCATTAGTCTGAAGCATAAGGCTTTATTGCACATTAGGGCTGAAGAGAAACCAAATGCTGATACAATAACTGAAAATAGATGTATGACCCGCCTGGCTTTCCGTGAGTATTTCATTCATTATGTATGGGGTTGGCTATGTAGCCCCCTAGGAGACATGCAGAAGAAAAAAAAAAATGATTTTAAAAAAAAAAAAAAAAAAATGTTTTGCGAGATATCGCAATACTTTTTGCGAGATCTCGCAAAACCCCATTGCAGTTTGTAGACGGTCTCTAAGCACTCCTCTCCCTCCTCAAGCTGCAGATTGTGACCAATTATTGATGTTTAGCTCGGATGACGGCGCGTATCGAACTGTTCTGATAGAAACGACTCTGTAGCTCGTTGTCTACCTTGCTATGATTGTTTGTATTTTTACAACGTTATGTTCATGAGTTATTGATCCGCGAAATTCGAATCTGTCAATAACTCAGCTCAGAGGGACGTGCATGTCCCCTCGCTCTGAGTGTTCTCTTGAGGTGTCTTCACTTATGTGAAACCCTTTATATACAGTCTATGTGTGAAACCCGTGCCTATTGCCAAGCACTGATGTTATATCTTTATATTTAAGGCCAAGCTCAAAGTAAAATCGATGAACCGCTCCATTGTTGTGGTTTCTGTGTTGCCGGAGCAGCCAAACTGACCAGGAAGTACATTGAGCTAAATGAAAAGTATTGCGAGATCTCGCAAAAGTATTGCGAGATCTCGCAAAGGTTTTGCGATATCTCACAAAACATTATTATTATTTTTTTTTTCAAATACATTTTTTTTCTTCTCCATGTCCCCTAGGGGGCTCCGTAGCTATGAGACCTACTAAAAATCTTTGAATGCCTCAAAATAACCACAGATTCAAAAGTGCAGTGCTTTCATCATTCAGGCCTCATGCTGGATCAATTGTAGGACTGCACTCTCAGGCACGCAATTCCTCTAACCCACTTTATATTATTCATGGATACTTCCAGGAATTTATTTGGTTGATACTGGCAGACCCCGCTCACAACTGGAGAAGTCTTTAGTGAGGCTGATCCCTGCAGCCAGCTCTGTGTGCAGCCTGAAGCAACAGAACACAGATCCTCCTGATGATGCAGAGGAGCTTCAGGTCTAACAGAGAGAGCTGCAGCTACAGTGTACACACACCAGCCTCACTTCTAACACTGTCTTTAGTCTTTATTGCTTGTCTTCATCCATACTTTCCTAAAAATGCATACATTATAAACTGCTTTTGCTCTGTATGTAACAATGATCTCATTATCTGAGGCAAACTTTAATGAGTTCAATTTTTTCAAAATGTCAGTTTTTGTTTCATAATGTCACTTGTCATATTGTAATCATGTCACTTGTTCCTTATCAAATGATCTACAGTCAGGACATGATCGAAATGCAAAATGGACAGATACAAATATGTGTTTTCACCTTCCATTTGCATATCGTCCTTTATAGTAAACGACAATTCCCACTGCGATACTTAGCAATAGTCTACATACTTCTTCTCGCCTACAAAGCCCTTAATGGGCAGGTGCCATCTTACCTTAAAGAACTCATTATACCCTACTGTCCTACGAGGGCATTGCGTTCCAAGAATGCACGGTTGTTGGTTGTTCCTAGAGCAGGGGCCTCATTTATAACGCTGTGCGTAGGATTCACGTGGGAAGGTTGCTTACATAGTTGAAATCCAAAAATAAATAAATAAGTGGTCCGAAAAAGGTTAATGCAAAAAAATACACATATCCTTCCTCAGGCAGTGTGTTTGTACCGGGGACAGGAGACACCCCCTTGATGAGAAACTGTAAGAAGTGATCGGGGAATCCCTCCGGTGTCAAGTCATGACGACTGGATCTGAATTATGTTTTTGTATTTGGTGGTTTGTGTCCCAGCTGTCGATCAGCTGTGCGCAGCGTCTCCACTGCAGCAACTCTATATCCACCAGTTAAAGGAAATACAACTAATGTGTTGAGTTATATTAGCTGTACAATTTACCACATATGGTGTTCTTAGTTTCCGTACCTCCTGTGTTTTACGAGCAACTTATCAAGTTTTGGCTAACGGCATAAAACACGATTAAACATGATTGTGTAGTGACCACTCATTAATACACTGGGGTTCATAATTCACACATGGAACTACAGTTGGGGTTTTGTTTCCACACGGACATGTTATGTGTTGTCTATATATGTTGTGTGCCCTCCTGGCTTCTCTCTCTTCTTCCCGGACTGCAACCGGACAACATGACCTTAGCTGCTCTCAAATAAAGTTCCCTTTTGCACCGTCCTTGCGCCGCCTCTGACTCCTTATCTCTCGGCACTACAATAGTCTATAAAACCATGCTCGTATCTACAACCTACAGAAATGCAAAACGGCGTCAGTTTAGACGTAATTCTGTCCTCCTGCTTACCACATCATTTATGAGAAAACATTTCATAACATTAACATTAACACAGCTGCTCTCAAATAAAGTTCCCTTTTCCACCTTCCTTGCACCGCCTCTGACTCCCTATCTCTCAGCACTACACTGGTGACCCTGACAAGTCTTGAGAAGTTTCCGGGACGGACCCGAACACGGCAAAAGGAACTCGATTTTCTTTCTCGAAATGCTGTGGATTTTTTGGAATCGTCCGTGGCTGCCACCGGCACGCGGACTGAGGCTCGGTGCGCGCCCCGCAGAGGAGCTGGGGACGTTGCTCGCCATTCCCGCATCAGCCTTCCATCCAACAGGGGGACGATGCACGACCTGCTGGGTCGACCAGCAA